CTTAAACATAAACTTAAACATAAACTTAAACATAAACTTAAACTTAAACTTAAATATAAACTTAAACATAAACTTAAACATAAACATAAACTTAAACATAAACTTAAACATAAACATAAACTTAAACATAAATTTAAACATAAACTTAAACCTAAACATAACTCAAACAAAATTAAAAGAAACATTAAAAAATGTTCAGTGAGGAGCCTAGTTATCTTACAAAGTTTGAGATTAATTTGGAAACTGGAGAATGCAAAGAAAAAAGAATATCAGGTAAAATTTTGATGATTTTTAGAATTCTAAAAACTTACAAATTAAACATTGAAGATTAAAAAAAAAACTTTTGGCAATAACCTTTTTATTCTAAAATTATTTTAATATACATAAAACTTTTTTGTTGAAGTTTGAACTCATTTTTAGGACATAAGACTTTTAAATCTTTACAAAAATTCAGAAGTTTTGTTCACAGCATTAGATAGTTAAATTTATTTCGTTATCCGGGAGATCCCATTTCATCCGTAAAGAAGACATTTTGAGATCCAGCTGATATTACTTTTATTCTCATAATTAAAAAAAGTTTTTTTTGACTTTTTTATAGAAAATACTCAACCGAGATGGATACAGTGAGCTTTTATAAAAAATTACAGGACTGAGACCTATAGAAATACCTTTAAAAAATGTTCGCAAAACTTATTGAACATACCTTGTACAATGTACAATCAATATTTAGAACTGGTTGTTGAAAGGCCGAGTACTAACCCTAAGTTTTTGACTCACAGATATGCATATGTCAGGTCCCAATAAACATGGAAATAAATTAAAAATATTAAAATCATCTCTAATTGTTGCTGAACGTCGAATGAAATATTTTCTGAGCCTTGTAAAATTTGGTTTATTGACTTAATTTCTTATTGGAGAAATTAAGTGATCGTGATACGAAACTAGTTAAAGATAAATTAAGCAAGTCACATTTTGAAAATCTCAGGAATATGAAAATATTATATTCAACGTTCTTACAATGTTACAAGCATTTTTAGAAAACAAATAAATAGAATTATTTTTTGATCAATTAACTCTAAAATAAAAATTAAATTTTTTGAGATCGTACATATTACTTTTACCATTACAATGTACTGCAAAAAGGAAAAGCTCTTACATAAATACCATTGAAAAATATTATCTTAGATATAGTTACATTTTTTTATTTTCTCGTTTTTTATATTAAAGGGACTGTAGAGTAGATGTAATACAATGTATTGACCCTCCATCTATAGAGTGCCATGTCCGATTCAAAACGTTATTGCATAAAAGCTTTGTATTATAAAAAAAATGATAACAGGTTATCCACAAAGGATGCGTTTTGGATCGTCTGTACGTCTCATCCTTGAGGGAAACCTTTTATTACCTCACTTTGCAAATTTATTTTTTTATTGTTGTTTCTTTAAAAAAATCTACTTATGTATTTATGCTATACAGAAGCAACGGTGGAAGTAGCTAGAACTAAACACTTTTAAAAGCTAAAATAACGGCGATATCTTCCATATTATGTCAATCGGGCATGGAAATCTGTAATTGGATACAAAATTAAAACGATATTTCCTTTAAGAATAAATTGAATTGTGCCTAGGTCTGAAGGCCTTAGCTCCCGGGAAATGGGATCCGAAGTTGTCAAGTTTGATTTAAAATCTGAAACTGTAGTTGGCAAAATACGTTGTAATCCGGTAAGAGCATTACTAACTCTTATCTACTAAGTACTAATATTTAAACTGAAGACACAAAGTTTTAAACTATATTTCTTTTCTATTTTCAGGAATGTATTTTTAATGAAGCTCTGTTTGTGCCAAGGTATTCTTAGCAACTTTAGACATGAACATGATTAACAAAAAATATAACCTAAGAATAGTGGAATTATTGTTATCTTCGCTCTTACTAAATAAGAAAAAATACTGCTTTAGGTTTTTGTAACTGTTATGTCTGACAAATAAGGAGACCTGTTTACACAGATATTAAAACAGTTACAAATAAAAAATACATTTCGGCATTTCTAAGAAAAAACGATGACGACAGTCCTGCAGACAGACCCATTTCTCAATTTAGGTCGATTTTTAGGGTCCTGCAGTAAAACTATTGCTTTATAACTACAGCAATTATGCACAAGATTGCTTATGTTCGCTCTTTCTTTTCCTTATAAATGCCGCTTATGATTTTGCTATTTGTAACTGTTATGTATACAGATACATCAAAGCTATTATTAATGTCAAATTACAAATCTTCGGAATCTCGAAATTTCGAAAAAGGGTTTCATTTTATTACGTTTTTAATATTTAAAATAATATCAAGGGAAAACGGAAGATCTGAAGATGATGGATTTTTAATGGATATAGTTTATTATCCGAGGTAATAAAAATGAAGAAAAAAAATAAAAAGGTTAATTTCAGAACTTTTTTTCTAGTTCGCACAGTTCTGCATTTGCTGTGTGGGATGCGCGGACGATGTCGGAATTACCAATTTTTGAAAGTCCTCTTCCCCAAAGAGTTCCATATGGAGTACATGGAATCTGGTTTCAAAGTCTTCCATCTTAGTTGATGAATAAACAGAGTTATTAAATACCAAAGTTCTTTGCTAACGTTTTAATAACTCTGAATTATGTTATCAAAATTTTGATGAATAACCGTAATTGTTATTTTTATCTTCATAAAACGCACCTAGTCTCAGCAATGGTGACGAAGTTGCGGCCAAAATGTCCGAAAATTAAAGATGTGTTTTTACAAAGAAATTACAAAAACGTTATTAGTCCACTTTATGCCGTGACACTAGTACGATCTCGACTGAGTTACATCTCCAATTTTTATTTTACACTTAAAGCAGCTTAGTACACGAAAAATACTAAGCTAAAATTTTTAGTTTTATGTGATGTAGACTCAGCTTTCATTTTAAAAAGATAATCTTTGTGTGTGAATAAATCTTTATAATGAAAATATTTTATGATTTATTTCAAGTTAATGTGCTAACATATTTTTCTTTATTTTAATCTTCCATTTATTCCAGATTATCTCAAAAACAAAGACTGAACATTATAATTATCATCATTATTTTTTGAAATTTTTTGTTAGATAGTTTTTAAATACCTGAACTAGAAAGTATTGCACCCCCTCCAAGAATGAATAAAGGAACAATAAGATGTTCTAAACTCAAACGTGTCTATATGTAAAATAAAGTGTAAATAATTTACAATTCCAAAATTTGAAATAAATATTTTAGGGTTATGTATTTGAAGAATCCCCCACATAAAAATTACTAGAAATTTTACTTTAATTACTAAAAAGAACTTAAACAGATTTGTCTCAGGGATAATTTTTTTTGTGAGGATGAGGATAGATTTTATATCCGTGGTGTATACCTCAGACACTTCAAATTGAAATTTTGGTGGCTGAGATTCTCGTGCTAGTTTTAGATGGAACCCAGCCTAATAAACGAAGAGAAAATGTGAAATGTTTTAAAAATTCTGTATTTAATTGAATATTATGTAGATTATTTGATATAAAGGGTCAGTTAAGTATAAATCAATTTACAATTCTGACATCTAAGAAATATTAATGATTATTTAAAAAAGTATTTAACATGGAACATAAGTGACTGACAAGCATTTGTTTTATCAACGAGGCCGATCATTCAAATTACTTGAAACATACTTTAAAACTTTGGAAATTCTATATTGTGTTCTGTTTTGCAACATTTTTCAAAGATTCAAAAAACTGTAGACCATAAGAACCTTTGAAGCCGAAAAATATATATCTGATATAAAAAAACATTTCAGATAATTACTGAAAGATCAACGTTTTAATGTCAAAACTTAATGCCCACGTTATTTGCTGTCAAACTCGAATCTAACTCAAATGAAAACTTCAGATTTTTAACACCGAAACCAGTTCAAAAATTTTTATCAATTTAATTTTCTTAATAGAATATTGGAGATTGTAAAGAGAAAAAAACAGAGGTAAACGGTGAAATGGCATGATTTTGTTATGAAAAGAATTCTTGGATTTTATCTTACGAAGATATTTCTCCTGATTCGGCGCACCTCATTTCAATCACTTTTTAATCAAATATAAACTTTCCCCCTTTGAAAAATACCCAGTCTTGAAAAAATTTTTGAAAAAGTTTTTTAGCAGTCTTTATGCATGTAAACCTGATTGCATTGCAGTACATGTTGATTTACTTCCTCCTCCCATCTTGAACCATTCTCAAGAATCCAACCCGTGTAATAGGGTCTCACTGTTTCCTAAACAATCTATTTCTGAAAAAAGTCCGCCTTTTTGGAGCTTCCTACCATTTTTTGACCAATTAAAAAACAGAAGAAAAGCCCTTACCACGGCGAATTTAGATATGCAAAATTATTGCAAAATTTTGAAAAACTCTAATTGTATTCAAGGAAAACCGAAAATTCACAAATTCTCTATAAAGACATTTCTAAGCAAAAATTGTGCAATCTGCTTCCCTTTGTTCACGGTTTTCCAAAGAGCCATAAAAATTCGAGATACAATGACCGTAAGTAGGTCTAAACATTAAATTATTATTATTATAAAGATTTATTCACACACAAAGATATAAATACATATATAAATGGTGTAGTTTACATTTGTATAAATAAATTTTTGAAAATACAGGTTTCCAAAAGAAAAGAGAAAAATATGCAAAATTATGCACAAATAGACAACATTGATCATTACTCATTACATACCATATTTATCATTTCAGTTATTACGTAATCATCGAATCCTTCAACATAGTCGAGTATAGCTCAAATAAGGCATTCAGGCAGTATGCCTGAGGACTAAGGCAGTATGTATAAAAGCCCCGCTATGAGCCTAAAGTGATTGGCATGTCTAAGTTAGAAAAGTCAAAAAATGTTAACAGCCTCAGACCAAAAAACGTCAGGGGGAGGGGTTGAAATCATTTTAAATATAGATGTGAGAAAGTTTTAATGAAACAGACTATTTCTTTTGAAACTTCCTTTTTAGATTTCCAATGCAGGGCTCATTTGTTAAATAATCAAATATATTCTAGTACAATAGTTGGCAACGTAGAATTTGTACACTCTCAGTACAGTTGTATTCTGATGTCACAAGTGTCAATTTAGTTTTTGTGTCTGACAAAATTATTGATAATAGTGATGGTTTTAGAGTAAATTACTTATCTTACAGTAAATAAGTGCAATTTTATGGGTTCTTTGTTTTCTGTTTTACACTTTTTTATTTAATCTTGGAAAACATGAGTTGAATAATTACCATAAATTTAAGAGTAATTCTTCCTGAAACAATATGGTAGATGATAAATTTTAGCATGAAAAAAAATTATAATTAACTCATACTTTTTGAATTCTTATGGCCAAGTCTTTAATGCTAAGTTACATAACTATCCCTCGGGACTACAATCCATTGGTTAATAAAATTGGTCCATTTCTTTGTTGCCACCTATTGAACTTGATAATCTATTTGGTTATTTAAGATTAATGTTTTCATGAGTTGAATAATTACCATAAATTTAAGCGTAATTCTTCCTGAAACAATATGGTAGATGGTAAATTTTAGCTTGAAAAAAAACATAATTAACTTATATTTTTTGAATTCGTATGGCAAAGCCTTTAATGCTAAGTTACATAACTATCCCTCGGGACTACAATTCATTGGTTAATAAAAAACTTTTATTTCAAAGACAGTAAATTGAAATCATTTTCGGGAAAAGACAAACGTACGGTAAAACACTAATGCTATAGCAATATCATTTTGCTAGTATTAAAACAAGAAGAAAATTATTTTCGTTCTTAAAATTGTAATCATATAATATGTTTTTGTTCTTTAAATATTTTCAAAGAACATAAAAAGGTAATTAAAACAAGTAAACAAGTTGTTTTCTCAGGGTTATATATTGAAGATAAAAAAAATGAACTATTCTTAAAACTTATTATTATCATTAATTAATATTATCATTATTTTTATTGTTACTGTTATAATTATCATTTCATTCATCATTATTTTTATTTTTATTACCCTACATTAACAAATCAAAATGTACTTATTTGTAGTCATACATAACTCAAGATTCCTTAAAAAAATGAACAGATATCTTAAGACTAGGTTTAATTACTGCACATACCTTGCCAAAATACAGAAGAGGGGTCTTTCTACCTTCCTTCTTGGTTAAATGAAGTGCATACTCCTGTATTGAATAAAAAGCGAGTAAAACCGGAATTAAATATGCCGTCTGTCTGTGCTACAAAAATCTAAATTTCAAATCTGCAGGAATCTTCAGTAAAATCAAACTGTCAATAGTGTAAACGGGTTGTTCTTTGTTTTCTGTTATATCTGTATTATCTACATTATAAATGTTATATCCATATTATCCGTGTTGTCTATCTATCTGTGTAAACTGTATTAGCCGTGTAATCAGTGTTATTTGTAGTTTCTATACTTATTATCTTTTGTATCAGTGTTGTCTGTGTTATCTATGGTATCCTTGTTATCTATAATATCTGGATTTTCTATTTGTGTGCTAACAATCGTTATCCGCATTATCTGTGTTATCTGTGCTTTGTTTAGTATCTGTTAATCTGTGTTATCTGTATTATTTCTGATCCTTATATTTACCTCATCCAGATAAAATACTTGATCAGCATTCAGATTATTTAGTACATCAAAGAACCCAGGCGCTGGTATTAACTAACCAATATATACATTATATCAGTTGAAACGCAACAATCTTCTTATTACATTGTATTTATAAACAAATTGTTTCATGTTTTTATGCAATCATCAGTATGAATGAATTGAGAATTTTTCACAGATGTTTCGCGGGTTTTCACGTAGGGTGTCCATTCGCAAAAACTTTTGCGCATCAGTTTTGCGCGAAAAAACAACAGTTTGCGCAATCATTCGCAAAAGTCATTTCACGCAAAATTGCCCTATTCCGCTTTCGCGAAACTCAAGTTTTGCGCAATTTCACAATTTCGTAAAAATCAAACGGTTGGTGACGATGTGTGTTTCTTATAGTTCAATTCTGGAAAAATCTTGTTTTGGAATGTCTTCCTATTGGTCACTTTTACATAATTGACCAATGACAATTAAGAAGAGTTCAAATCTTACAATTTTCTCGACAATTTTAGTTTTGGACATGCATATTTCCTAAAAGTGGATTCTTCAGGCATTGGTTACTTTCTTGCATTATTAATTAATTAATGATATATATATTTATATATCATATATTGGCATTAAAAGCATATGAAGGATTTTATCATTTATAATTATTGTGACTGAGCTGAAAACTTTAGAATGATGGATATCAAGATTAGTGCTTAAAGTTCTGGTTTTACTAAACCCAAGATTATTTTAATACGCATTCGATATCCAAGAAAGAAAATTAAAATTCACCCTATCAGCGTGTCATGTTAAAATGTACTCTTTAACTTTAGAAAAAATGGTTTTATTTCTGGTGAGGATGGTGTCATATCAATTGAACTAAACATCGATTGTACTAACGAAAGTTTTGGAATAATGCTTTTTAAGACTAACGTTTAAAATTACAATGGTCCTGAAATACAGGGTGTCCCAAAAAACATGGGAATTCAAGAACGAATTCGATGTCGTCTTTTTAAATAATTCTTTGATTTAGTATAGTGATACCTACTGAGAAAGCTGTAATCTGTAAGAGTTCCGTCTGCTATGTTCACATTTTGTTTGTTTATGTTTTGACTGCATACGTTTGTACTTAGTAATACAAGAAAATTGCAGTTTACAAACAGAGTAAACTTGTCCGTCTTCACTGTTTATCTTGCGGAGACATTATAGACACATCTTTAACCCTTTTCATAAAATAAACTCTAGCAGACATAATTATATTATGGCTTTTGAAATTAGGTATTACACTGCTAATTCATAACAAAGACGATATCGAATTCGTCACTGAATTCCCATGTTTTTTGGGACACCCTGTATAATAAAAAATGCTTTTTAATAAGTTCATATTAAAATTTATATTTGTTGAAATGCTCTTAAAGCCGGCTTGTGAACATCTGATTTAAATTCAATCATCGGATATTAGTCCAATCGATATAGCATTGTATCTGTAATTGTTATCAAACGTAACTTATACAATATAGGGATATCCAAAAAAATGATTAAGGATATCACATTCTAAAGTTTTTAGCTCAGGGCACATTCTCAGAAAAAAATGTATCACTTAAATTTTACATTGTGAGCCAAAAAAAGTCCATGGAAAAAAGTCCTAAAATTTCACACAAAAAAGTCCTGTGGAAAAAGTCCTTTTATTAAAAAGTCTCCAGAAATAAAGTCCTACCAATTCGAGACTTTATTTTTTAGGACTTTTTTCTCGCTCCAGTATGATTTTATACAAAAAAGTCCTCTAACAAGTGAAAATGCATGATTAACTATGGAAAAAGTTTTTTTTTCTAGGATTTTCTTTTCCTCAGATTTATTTTCTTCAGGACTTTTTTCCTGAGATCTTATTTCCTGTGGCTTTATTGGCAGCCCCCATACTATTTTAGGAAAAAAGGACTTGAGAAAATTCGGACTTTTTTCAAAAGTTTTATTTCCAGGATTTTTTTTCCAGAAACTTTTTGTCCCGGGACTTTCTTGCATAGTTTCTTTTATATACAAGGAAGGAAGGAAGACATAAGACGATAATCATTACTCTGTTTTCTGGTTGACCATGTATATTAGTTCAAATGTTAATGGTGTCTAGAAGTCTACACATAATTAAATGCCAGCTTTAAACATTTACAAGTACAGTAGTACTGAAGTCTGCAAGGTAAAACTAATCTATACCTGTTGTTCATTGCTCTCCAGAAGCTTTTTAGTCCAAGGGTTTGACGAAAAACTAAGAACTGCAGCTACATAGCCAGGAACTGAGCTTATAACAATCTAAATACTTTAATGATAAAACGTAGTAGATTATTTAAAGAAAATTGAAGAAGGAATTATTTATGTTCTGGGGACATCTTTGAACCAAAGTATGTGGGATTGTTGATTTTTTTTTTCAAAACATTATGTATTGAAAAAATTATGAAATACCTTCTTTTCCTCCACTATTTGCTGAGCCGTATCTATTGGGACTTGAAAAGCAGGTTTCATCAAAACGGCACTACAGAGAATAGAAGTAGAAAGTCGTCATCATTATATTGACTGATAAAAATTCATAAACTCATCAAATGCACAATACAGCAATGACAGAATTGTAATTTAAATTCATAACACAGCAATCATAAAGTACTGACATTTTTTATGTAGAATCAGAAATTGAACAAATACAGATATATTTGTATATACTCATTTAAAGTTTATGTTTTACCACGCAAACAACTTATCTTAAGCACTAAACAATCCTTATAAAGGATCATAAGTTTTTTTCTGTTCTGACAACTAATTCTCAAGAAGGTATGCATAAGTCATAAAACAGAATAGTCTGGTATCTATCATACTGAGAACAGAAAATAAAATATATTCACCTGAGATTGCACGAGAAAGCGTTTATAAGAAGAAATGAGACTAACCCCCAAATAAAAAGTATAATAGTTCCAGAAAAAACTAAATTAAATTAGTTCATGAAACAGTTAAAAAATGCTAAAATAAATGAACAACACTTATTTATTCAGTAATCAAATACTTTACTAGATTAATTAAAAAAAAAGATTAATGATGTTTTGGACAACATTTTAGAAACTTTTGGCTTAAAAAAATTACGGGACAATCCTTCCATATTTATTTGATCCGGAATAATCATTCCGTACATTTTAGAGAGAAGTATGATTTAATATGGAATTGTTTACAACAACAACTCAAATTTTCTATTAATTACATCTTAGCAACCTAATAGTGTAAACTTATGAAATACTGACTATTTGTTGTAACATGTTTGAGATAGCAAAGGTGAACGACATCAGGTTACAAAGATTTAGGGATTAAAACTCAGAGTTTGTACAGGCAAGAAATCCTTTGATATTTAAACAGTTTCCAAAGGGGGGGGGGGCAGTTTTCTAATCTTATGATAGTTAACAAAATACTGGTTTAATATTTAAATGTAGCACCTCGTCCTGTTCTAGTTAAAAACATATCTGGGCCTGGTGTTCCTTCAGCAGTTATCAGGGAGAACGGAGTTATCAAAACAAGAAAAGTATCTTGCTGAAAAAGATTTTTAAAATTTTGAGATTTTTTTTAAATATTCAGTTTTGATAAAACAGTACACTAATTAATCAAAAATGATTGGGAAACTTCTAAGAAAGTTATATCAAGAAAAACTATTAAATCCCTTTCTATTATGCGAAGTTCTTTAACAATAGGGTTATTACTTTTATTAATATTATGCATGGGTGTCTAAGGTTGTTAAAAAAATTGTGAATAGTAAAATAATTTGCACCTAACCTGAGGGATGAAACCTTGTCGCTTCTTTACTTGCACAATAAATAACAATGCTAACGAACAACCTATTATACTAGAAAACCCTGCTTTTACTGGGATATCAAAATATTTTGGATATAATGATGAATGGCAAAATCAAATTAAAAATAAATAACAATGTAGATATACCTGAGAAAGGTTGCTATCCATGTGTTTATATCAAAAACCTTTTAGCATAATTTTTTTAAAAAGTTCATAGCTTAAAACCATTTTGTAAAACATTTGAAATAGTTCTTACCGAAACCAGATTATACCTTGACCCAACTCTGTCTGGATACTGAATAAACAATTTGAAAATTTTAACCTCTATCGGACTGTTATATAATATACACTGTATGTAGACACTTTTCGTTTCTGCTTTATCCGCTCTATCCTTGCTTTTTGGATTTTCCAATCGGATTCCTACCATTTAGAGTTCTATCATTAACTTGTGCGCAAAATTTTGATTTTCCCGGCTTCTGATTGGCTGTTTTGGATTCTGCAGTCGCCACTCAGATTCGTTTAATTTTATATACTTTCCTGGATACAAACTAAAGATTAAAATAATCATAAGATTAACAAAAGAGGAGATCATGCATTAATAACGATATCCACAATTCTAAAGTTTTCAACTCTGGTCAAACATTTATACGACGACATATTACGTTTTTTTATGCACAAAAGTTTATAATTTACAATATGCCAAATGCAGGATGCCCCATGAGGGTTTTTATTTAAAAACTAGGGGAATTTTCAAAATAAAGATGTGAGAGGAAATTGTTGTGTTTTATATGAGCTGTATAATTTTGTTAAAGGGTTTAAAGATTGTCTTTAATGATTATTTAAATAACTATAAGAAAGTAAAGAGTTTTTGGTTACCCACAAAGGATGAGACTTCAGAGACGATTGTACGGAATTTATTTAATCCGTTTTCTTGTATTCAGGGTTGGGTTACTTGCAGGTCAAAACAGGCTGATTTCTGTGCTTAATCATATAGTAAACAATCACAATACTCAATTGAATGCAGACACCAAAAACCATGCTTCAATATTTTTTTAAGTTTTGGGTGGTCTGTACTCTGTACAGTCTCATCCTTTATATATAACCCTGTAAATAATACCTTTCATATTTAATCATAATATACCTTTGACACCCATTTCAATTCAAAAACCCCAACTGGATGGGTGTACATCACAAAGTGCATCCTGTAAAAGAGCTTTACTAAATCTCAATCTTTAGTGTTTTTTTATTTCTTACTTTTACTTTTCCAAAACATCGTCTAAAGTACCTTTACGTACTTGGAAGTCAAAATGTGTTTCTATTTCTAAGAGTAAAAGACACTTGTGATATTTCATCGTGGGACGTGAAAAATTAAAAATGTTTTTTTTTTATCACACAATATAACGTTACATACAGTATACAGGGGTCCTCAAAATGCAGTGGTATACAGGTTTATGACCATAAGCTTGAAGATATATGCTTTATAATAGAATATTGAATGTTTAGAATAATGTTAACGCAGATGTTATTGTTTTTATTGTTGAATTTTTAATTTTTGGACCCGATATCGCGATGAGGCCTTCAAATCACACAGGGGTCCGGTGGGCATGCTAGACTCCATGCAAAATAATAGTTAGGTAAAATAAGTTCAGCTCTTATATAATCGACCTTTCTAAAACAAACGCCATGTATGAAATTCCCAAATCTGCATGCCCATATCCAACCTGAAGAACGTTTAAACAAACGATTAATAAGTATGACGTGAACATTTAAAACGATTTTCTCGATCATAATAACAGCTTCACAATAGAAGAGTTTTCTTTTAAATTGCAGTGTGTAATCTCAGATTTTGTCATTTTATTTCACCACTTTGCACAGAAAATATTTCCTCCGTTTCTTTAGAAAACAAATTGTCCCGTCACATTAACATTGCCAAAGGTCGGAACTTTTTATTTCTGTCGCTTAGGATACAACGTCTCAAGAATGTAATGCAAGGAAAGTTAATTGCTGTCGCGTATACTCTGCGTACATATTGAAACCAGTTCTCTCTGGGCGGAATTTGTAAACAAGAATAGATGCACCAGTGTTCGTTTACTATCCGAGGAGGAGGTTAAAAGCATTAAATTTAATAATTTTGATAATTCACATAATAGTTTCCTATGACCAGTATATTTCATTGATTTTTTTATGTGAAAGATGGATCCCATGTCAGGCTGTAACATCCGTCTTGTGTTTACATTACCGTACACTGCAGTACAAAAGATGCATACACTTTTGAAATAACTTTCCTTGCATTACATCCTTGACGTCTGAACTTGATATCAACAGTGGAAAATTTCAACGTTATGAGATAAAGTGCTTAATCCTTAAAACCCAATTGAATAGTAATTTCCGTTCTTTGATATCTTAAAGGAATTCTTTCAATCATTCGGCACTACACAGTATACGAATTAGTGCTTTCCGAAGGAATTAACAATAAAATATTTCGGAAGGAATTAACAATAAAATATTTCCGAAGGAATTAACAATAAAATATTTCGGAAGGGATTAACAATAAAATATTTCCGAAGGAATTAACAATAAAATATTTCGGAATGAATTAACAATAAAATATTTCCGAAGGGATTAACAATAAAATATTTCCGAAGGAATTAACAATAAAATATTTCGGAAGGGATTAACAATAAAATATTTCCGAAGGGATTAACAATAAAATATTTCGGAATGAATTAACAATAAAATATTTCCGAAGGGATTAACAATAAAATATTTCCGAAGGGATTAACAATAAAATATTTCCGAAGGAATTAACAACAAAATATTTCCGAAGGAATTAACAATAAAATATTTCCGAAGGGATTAACAATAAAATATTTCCGAAGGTATTAACAATAAAATATTTCCGAAGGAATTAACAATAAAATATTTCCGAAGGGATTAACAATAAAATATTTCCGAAGGGATTAACAATAAAATATTTCCGGCCCCGATAAAAGCAAATCTACTAAACTTACCGTTCCTACAGTACCATCCCAGATACCAGTTTTTTTGTCAAAGTTTCCAAAAAGCATTTTCATGTCCATGTATTCAACTTTTAATTTTTTCCTATCTAAAAGAAAACTGATCGTATAAGAACTGTTAAGGGGATTTGTGTCAATCAAACAATTGAAAGAATTGAGTGTCATTCACCATTGGCACCATTTAAAAATGTAATCTGCTTAACAATTATGAAAAGTTCATTGGTCCGGATTTCATATTACTCTTATCATGGTGGACAATAAAAAAGAAGAGAGATATACAATTTCAGTGCTGCATACATATTGTAAAAGGTTCAAAGGAATTGAGTCTTTGTCACAAACTGTGATTTTCTGATCTTTATATCTTTGCAACCCAAAGCCGTAGACCTTAGATATTTCAAAGTTTGAATTCTGTTAGATGAAAGAATCTTAGTTTAAAATATCAAAGGTTTACACCATCAGGTGGAAAAAATATAGGTATTAGAAAATCTGAGTTTCTTACAAAGACTCAATTCCTTTCTAAATGAACTGAATTTGATTTTATATGATCAAATTCTCATTAGACTAAATAAAATTTCATGTCGTATTGAAGCCCTTTCTGAAGAGCTATTGATAATATTTCTTATATGCAACCAAACACATTTGGGGATAAAATCAAAACTAGAGGAGTTAGGAGATTGCAAAGTCGCACCAGCAATTTAACCTTCTACTTAATTGGAATGGTGTGTGTTAGTATTCTATTTGAAAATTCAGACTGTATATATAATTTGCTTGTCTGGTTGTTTGTTTGTGTCCATACAAAGACAAAGTAAATGTTCAAAGATATACAGATTACAGAGAAACAATAAGAAGTTGTAATAGAAGATGGGCGCGAAGCGCTTTGAAAGCCTAGCATTAAAAATTCCAACCTAAGAACGTTTGAAGAAAGTATCCTTCACTGGTTTTCATGTCAACTTGTTCTTCCACAAGTTGAAATCGTGGAACATAATTATTGTAGGCAACCCTGAAATATTATACACGACATATTTACAGACATCCTTGAAATTAACTGATTATTAGAAAGTTCAAAACTTACAATGTAAGCAGAACAGGTCCCGCTACAGATATATTAGAAAATTAAAAATGTTTAATGAAAGAGCTAAAATTTGATGATGATAAAAACTGTTAAAATGTTTAGATCTGTAAACTCAGGTTAACTGCCTGAAGGGGGCATCTGGGTTAACTACATAAAGGGAAAACCTGAAGATAACTACATCTTAAGCGTAAACCTGAGGTTTACTACCTGAAGTGTATATTTGAACTTCCTTAATGATAAACCTGAGGTTTACTATCTAAAGAATAAGCCTGAGGTTTACTATATTAAGGATAAACATGGGGTTTACTACATTGAGGGCAAACCTGAGAATTACTACCTGAAGGTTAAGTCTGGGTTTTACTACCCTTAGGCAAACCTGAGGTTTACTATCTGTATGATGAGCCTGGGGTTTACTACCTTAAGGGCAAACCTGAGGTTTACTACCTGAAGGGTAAACCTGGGTTTTATTACCATAAGGGCAAACCTGAGGTTTACTACCTGAAGGGTAAACCTGGGGTTTACTAACTTAAGGGAAAACCTAAGGTTTACTACCTAAAGCGTAAACAAGAGGTTTACTACCTGAATGGCAAACCTGAGGTCTGCTTCCTGAAGAATAAACCTGAGGTTTACTAGCTTAATGACAAGCCTGATATTTACTATCTGAAGGGTAAACAGGAGGTTTACTACTTGAAGGATAAATCTGAGATTTACTTCCTAAATGATAAACCTGAGGTATTCTACCTAAGGAATAAACCTGAGGTTTACTACCTGAAGGGTAAACTTGAGGTTTACTACCCGAAGGGTAAACCTGAGGTTTACTACCTGAAGGGTAAACCTGAGGTTTACTACCTGAATGGTAAACCTGAGGTTTACTACCAAAAGGGTAAACTAACATGATGTGTTTACTACGTGAATGGTAAGGTATTAAACATGAGGTTCAATACTGTAGAGTCTAGTTGGTTTAATATCTGAGGGTAAACCTCATGTTTACTATTTGAAGGGTAAACCTGAGCTTTACTCCCTAAAGGGACAACATGAGATTTACTACCTGAAAGGTGGATCTGAGGTTTGATCTTTTCTCTTGAATAAAATATTCTTGCCATATTGAGACCAAAGACCTTGATACACGTGACCTTTTTCATCCCTGGAAATTTTAAATTTTGCTTCATTAAGCTTTTTAATAGCTTCAAAGTTTATTTGTTGAAGGTACTATCGATAATTTTTAGCGAACTTCAAATTGAAAAGTGATATTCTTTATTCATAACGGTACCGTTCTACCTACCGATATCTGATCAAAAGGTTCCATATTTAACAATCCTAGCAGAAATGCGCAATTCACTTTATGGAGAAACCACAATTGAAAACAATCAACTTTTAAAGAGAAGATGACCTATATCTTATACACTCTTGATCAGACAACGATTTAAAGTGTATCGTTTTGATTCGGATATTCCACTTTACAAATGCAGAGTAACTTTAAAATCAACCTACAGTCCCTTTAAGTTTACCGGTATATAACTTTCATACTCGAAGTTATCACCTGAGCCCAGGGTCTGCCTAAATAGAGCAAAAATTTCATTATTGTTTTTACACTGAAACATATCAGAAACATACAATTTTAAAAGTTTGTCAAACTACAAGCATTAATATTTTTTAAATAAATAAATAAATACCCAAAGGCAGCTTGACATCTTGAGGTGTATGGCTCACTATGATGATAAATGTTGGTCTATGGCTAAAGTTTGTTAAAGTGATATTTTCAACATGTTTTGCCTAAATAGAAATTTTTCATACCATTTTTTTCTATTCATTAAAAGGGGCCTCACTATTAAAAATATTGTTCAAAAGTTATTCGAAATTTTTCTTTCCAATTGGATGTTTTTGTGTGAACATTGATTAATTTATAAAGCCCACAATAACAACAATAGTTATAATTGCTCTGAATTAAAAAAAAATCATCTCAATAGACTTATATAATAAAGGTTCTTATTTCAAACCTTTTTAAGTTTCAAGATAAAAGACTTTAAAGAAGATCCCAGTACAAACCCATATTAAAAGTCTGAACTGAACCTTAGAACCCGTATCCTTGGTCTCACTATATCTTACATGATGTCCCAATGAATTCTACAGTTGAGAGACGATTTAAGAGTCAATTTTCCGATCAAAGATAAAAGACGACAATCTAAACTCGTCTTTTTCGACTATCATTTTTTTGGGACTCCCTGCATTACCCTACCCTGTCCCTGATGATAAAATAGCATCTTGTGCTGAGTGTGATCAAGTCAATAATATCCTTTAGATCTTCAGCGAGCACTTTCTGGTGATAATTCTCAGCAACATGTTCAACCCTGGATTTTTTAGATTAAAAAAAATGGTTAAATATTTTGCCACATATTGTTTGTTTGTGTGTAAAGACCCATACAAAGATCAACATTTTGACATTGAACTAAATGTACTGGGTGACCCACAAAGGATAAAAGTTCATATGTTATTTTTATTACGTATAAACTGTGTAATACATTACTGTCTTATTCTTTATATTCGGGATTTCTATTAACTATAAATGTAAACTTGTTTCTGTCTTTGCCAAATCAATTAGTAAGTCTTTTAAACACTAAATTCAAGACAAAAGGCTTAATTAAACCTTGGAATCGTCACATCTTAAGAGTTTCAGGTCGTCATTACAGTCTTATAATTTGTGGGTAACCCTGTACAGTGTACATCAGTGTATATCTCTTTAAAAAATTTATAGAAATTGGAAAGTTCCGATTTACAAGTAATAATAAATACAAAATGATTACATTTAATGTTGAAGTATTCGATAATAATGTAACTACTAAAATAATAATTATATTATGTAATGAGTAACGATTAAGGTCGCCTATTTTTGCATAATTTTGCCCATTTTTGCAAAACTACAGGATGAGTAAAAAAAACATGTTTTATCAATGTTTTGGCCAACATTTGAACATTTTTTTTGTTCGTATTCTAGGTATGAAATTTTAAATTTTACTTCATTAAGCTTTTTAATAGCTTCAAAGTTTATTTGTTGAAGGTTCTATCGTTATAATTTTTAGCGAACATCCTATTGAAAAGTGATATTCTTTATTCATAACGGTACCGTGATTTGTGATTTGTGATTTGTGATGTGATTTTTTTTGAAAAATTTAAACACTTTTAAAAATTGTTGGGAAAATGGAAATTGTTTTCCAAATTTTTATAAAACTTCATCAAAAATTGAATGAGATAACCCTTAAAATTGTAAGCCAATTTTTTGCTTTTAAAGTCAAAACATGTTTTTTGTCGATTTTTTTGTTTTATCTCATTTAATTTTCAATATTTTTTTATGAAATTTTGGAAAACCTAGAATAAACATTTTCCCAAAAAGTTGGTTTCGCGGATTGTTTTTAATGTTCTAAAAATATTTTTAAATTCATATTTATCCGTTCTAATTTATGTATGTTTAAAATCTGAACAAAATAGAAATGTTTGTCCAAAACATCGATAATACCTGTTTTTATTCATTCTATATATATTCGAATCATCTAAACAAATTTAAACCACACCATTAATATATGTAAGTTTATCTCTGTGTGTGAATTAATCTTTACAAGGTATGTTCAATAAGTTTTGCGAACATTTTTTTAAAGACTCTTCTATACATCTCAGCACTTTAATTTTTTATGAAAGCTCATTGTATCCATTTCGGTTGTCATCTTTCAACGGACTTTACTCATCAAACTTTTTATTTCCACGTAATCTGCTTTTCTTGGAGGCATGTTTAGCTCCGTTGTCACAGCACGGGAATGTTTTTAAAACCAACCAGAGCTGAGTGAAAGAGGACACTTGGAATATCGAGACACAAAAATGTGTGCCCTAAACTTTCCAATTATAAAGCAGACACCTTTGAAATGATCCAAAATGCATTAGAGGGTAATGATATGGACACGGCAATAGTTTACAAGTGGACTAAAAGAGAAAAAGTGTAATGGAGAATGTTGGAAATGTCTGAGTAGGAAAAATCCACAAAAACCCCACAAACAGTTGACACAATAATTGAAAGTTTCTCAAACCAAATTCGCAAGGCTTATTAGTTGATGATTTCTGATGAGTTTGGCACCTGCTATGGTGCAGCAAACAAAGTTGTAAAGCAAGTTTTGAAAAATGGCGAAGATTTAGACATTATTTGCTCAAAAGAGGTTCTAGGAAAAGATACTAAGATGTTTGCTGAAATGTGGATTACAACGATAAAAACCTTCAAGGACTCTTTCTACAATAAAGGCTTACCCTCGATCCTTTAACCTTTTAAGGGTACCCAACCTCTAGAACTCGCTTAAATGAATAAAGTTTAAGTCTGTAGATAAGATAAATAAGCTGTGACAAGCATCGTTATGGTTCCGGGAGAAAGATAATTGTGTCCAATATATTATCTGATCAGAGAATTGAACCGGGAAAAATATAGTGCATGAACTTAAATTTCAAGGGCTAAGACGTCTAGAAGTACCTTTAACAAATTTTTCACAAAACTTATTAAACACACCTCGTATAATAAAAAATAATATAATAATATATAATTCTTATACATGTATTTACTATTCATATTGTAGCGTATAGATGAACCTTTCGTAATTATAGTAACGTGTATTTACATACATTTTATCATTATCATTATTCTGTATAACAATCCTTTCTTTCAATAAATTGATATGAAAAGAATAAAAACTACTACAAAGGTTTTCATTACTAAGTTTATTACCCATCATATATTTCCATACAATCCGCATTATTTTGCCTAAAAAAAAGAAAAGTTCAAAGTACGTAAAACAAGTATTCAACTATTTGTCGTACATAGTTGTTGTTAAGTAGGACAGGATGCTTTTTAGGGTTGAAGAAGATTTTTTTTCTAATTCTTCTCTTCCCCATTTCTTGTTCAAAACTGATTCTTCCTCTAAACCCTTGATGTTTACTGCTCCTAGGAAGAGAATGAAGAAAGCTAATGTGTCTTTCATGGAGAGATCTGCAAACATAAGGGTAACCATTCTAAACGATGGTTCAGAGTAAACTTGGATTTAACATTAACTTCAAAATAAGGTAAACGTTAATATGATTATTATTCTAGCATTTAAGTTTTGAATGCCATTTGTAAACATTATAAAATACTGAATAAATATAAGGGACAATTCACGAAAATCCTTCATTTGATTACCTTACTTTTTTGGATTTGGATATTCTAGTTTTTTTATACTATATCAATTACTTTTTTATTCTAATATTCATTTAATCAAAGCTAAAACATTTTCATTAGATACATTTCAATTATTTATTATTGTCAAAGAAAGGAATTGAGTTCTGGTCACAAACTCTGATTATCTAAGCAACCCGAAGTTGTAGACAATATTTCAAACTATAAATTCTGTTAGATCAAAAAGTCTAAGTTTGAAATATCAAAAAATATCAGATTGCAAAGGTATAGGAATTATAATATTTGAGTATGTGGCAAAAACTCAATTCCTTTCATCTAGCGATATTTATTATATGTAATTTATTAAACATATTTTAGCCTTGTAATAATACTTCCCCTTGGCCATTCAGCATTGCATTTACAAAAATATTCTTGTTTTTGGCGAACTTAATAACACGTTTAAATTAAAATGCAAATTTGAAATACGTTGATAATCTCTTTAAAAGCGTGCTTTATTTTTCTCACAACTGATTATTTGATTACGAAATTCTAATTTATTGGCCTGGACGAAACTTTCAATGACATTTTATGATGAAAAACTAAATATGCAATCAAACTGAAACTTATCCTGTTATTAACCTTTCTATTATTCCTTCAATGACATTTTGTTGCATTTGAGATTGCAAACTAGCAAATTTGAATATTTATGATACATGTTAAAATAATATTTTGAAAATTTAAAAATACAAATTTTAATCTTTTCTGACAAAGAAAGTTTAAATTTGAAATAAAAATGTTAAACCTATTCAAATATAATTTTACTGATTAACTGTAAACGTAAGTTAATGTCTGTGTGAATATGTGCTATACAATCATCAGCATGCAAAAGGATTAATTTCATGATGAAAATATTATAAAGCCAGATTTTCAGTTTTCTAAATGATATTTAGGCATAACAGAAAATACTAATGACTGAAATCTGCCAAGAATGAAACAATGTACAAATCATGCTATAAACCAGCTGTTAAGCAATTCAATAGAATTCAAAAGTGCTGAAAACTTTAGAATGAGATATCCTTAATCACAAATGCTTAATCTGAGTATCCAATGTACACACTTTTGATTTTCTTCTTATAATCCTCTCTTTGGATATTTCTACTGAATAAAAGTTAAGTTTGATAACAATTACAGATACAATGCTATATCGATTGGACTAATATCCGATTGAATTAAAGTCAGTTGTTCACAAGCCGGCTGTTTTGCTACTTAGCGATTTCCCTAAAGACCTAATATATATACCTTGTGGTATTTCTCAGGACCGGATCGTAAGACTCCCTTCTCTCAACGCTCTTCATAATAAAAGGATGATAGTAAGGTTCCAAACTTTTATTTCTCTGAGCCTTCAATCTAAATAAGTTTAATAAACCCACAGAAAAAGCTTTGAGTGATAAATCATACAAATACAACAAATAATTCACTCAGGCATTAAAAAACTGTGGCTAGGAACCAACAAACACATATATAAATATCAATCATACTATAATCAAAACGATAAGCATAAATATATATAAAATTAGTTACCACAGTGATCCCAGAATTCTGGACACGGCTAAAACTTGTAAGACGAATAAACATATACTGATATAAATAATTCACTACTCTGCGAGAAATCTTGCGCCTGCGTAGTCGGTCTGTAAACAGTTCCTAAACTAGTTCTTTCACAATACATTCCTTACAGAACTTCAGGGAGAACTCAGAAATACACAGGGGTGACAAGCAGACTTTATACACGCAGCATGGCTCGCGTAACACTAGCCCAGCCAAGAGAAAACAAAAAAGTTCTTCTGCACCCCGCGACTTGAGCTCCTAGAAAACCTAAAACACAACACAGATCTTTCAGAGTTTG